CTATTCTAAAACAAATAGCCAATTATGATTTCAATCTTATAAGATTATCATTGAAAATCTCTGAGAAATGTATAGGACGTACTAGTCTCTGAATATTAATACTTGAGAAAAGTATCTATCTTCGGCACAACTATTAAGTCAGAATTAAAAAGTTTCATTGAAAATATTATAAACACGCAACGGGTTCGGGTCTGAGTTCAAAATTTTTAGACTCGACAGGCTCTAGTCCAGAGAATACAGTAATTTGTACATAAAGCATCAATTTGCAATATCTCTAACGTTGCTTTTAAGTTTCACAATAATCATGATTAGGGATTCGTTTGTCAATATTGTAGAATTGTCTATTAGCATCGGACAGCAATGAAGTGTTAATACGACGTTTGAATGTAATCATATCAACAAGTCCCTATAGTCAAATATGAAGAAAAATCTGTTTACTTCTCTCGATATACGAAATGGAAATGACAAAATACACGTTTCTTTCTTCTCATTCGTCTGAACGTTTAATCCTTTCAAAGATGAAGGAAACATTATAATGTCTCGCCTGTTGAATATATCCTATCTATCTTCCGTACTATTTCAATTTTACTTGCTTTTTTTTCAAGCGCATTTCATATTACATTCGATGTACGGTAGTACATCGTTTTCTCCTGGTCCCTATTGTTCTTGTTTTTAACAGATCTATAATGTCAAAGTTTCTAAAGCTTGATTTTTTTTCAAAAGTAATTCTGTTCTAAAGTAGTTAAATCGGACAAAATCTTTAAGTAGATCCTATGGATAATCAGGATTTTCTCCAAGAAAACGAAGCTGATCTTTGAGATGTTCTCCTGTTGAAATATCCGTTCGAAGATTTTCTCATAAAAGAAATAAAAATATTTTTGTTATAGTTAAATGAGTCTGAAATATAAAAAAGTATCATACATAGGTAATTTATTGTTTTCGATGTGAATTAATTTTCCCAGATCTAATGTTAATGCAATTGGTTTAATTAAATGTGATGGTGAATCTTCTTGTAAACGTAAATCAATCCAATTTTCATCTTAAAATATTCTTTAAAAAAAATCTTTTAAATGAAAAAAAAAATTTATATTTTGTGTAAGATAAAGTAATTGAACATTTTCTAATTGAATTTTTTTTAAAGGAATATAAATTAAATCATCTTGATCACTCTGAAAAAAAATAATAAATATATATTTTATTTAATTTATAAAAAAAGACAAAATACTTTAGCATCATAAAAAACATTTTTTTCAAGATTTTGAACATTTTTTTTTACCACCTTTAAACATAAAACGACCTAAATCCAAACAAATAATTGATGAAGAACTAAACATATAATAAAATAATAATTTGTGTAGTAGAAATAAATAAATAAAAATCTTACGATTGATAAAATCCATGTTCTGGTACAATGAAATAAATCGATTGTAAATCAATATTAATATCTAAATCTTTTATTTTTTTAAGATTTTCATTAACTAAAAATTGTGTACGATGTTTTATATCTATATAAATTGAATAAGCTGCTTCTTTTATTCTATTTTACAAACAAAAACAATATTTTTAATTAAAAATAAATTAAATTTACCCTTCTAAATCATGATGTCTATCCGGTAAAAAACATTCAATTAATTTATTAATTGTCATCTAAAAATAAAAATTATTTAAAAAATAAAAGCTCTAAAGTTCGTACTGCATGATAATTAATTTGTAATAGTTGAGATTTAGCTTGGATACGATAATCAGATTTAGTATTTAATGGATTTGTTTCAAATTCAATATGAAGAAGTTTATTTGTTTGATTAAATGATTGAATTAAAAGAGGACGAGATAAGTTCAATTCATTTTCATTATTCAATTCTGAATCAATTCCAGACATTTCTAATGAATTCAAATCAATAACTAATCTTTAAAAAATAAAAAAAAAGATTTGATTTTTATTTCGATATTAAATTGAAAATTTATCATACTGAATATCATCTCGCGCTGGACGACGTTGAAATTCTAATTGACCATTTGCACTGAAAGACGAGAGATGACTTTCATACTAAAATTTAATAAATCTTTTTCATTGAAATTAAATGTCTGTCTCAGTGACGAAAATGATAAGATCACTATAATGATATGATCAATATCCTTCAAGATTACTTATTCATCTCTTAATAATCCTAAAGACTACAATAATCAAGATGTCGATGTATTATCCCGCCGTAATGAACAAGGAAATAAAGTGTTCATTACAGCGGTGATACAGACATAGACATCTCTCTAGTAGAAATAATGATGCCCTTTAACAGTCCCGCTGACAATCTGTTCGATATTGAATGTAGGGAATATGTGTTCATAGGTTAAGTAGAAGAAAAAAGTCTAAATTCAACGCATTAGAGTTGACAAAATGCTTCTATATGATATAGGTTTTATCTCAAACTCAACTATCTATTGAGTATTACAATAAGATTTCTTCGATAAACTAAACGAGCTTCTATAAAACAAAATAATAACGAAGTCTTTTTTCATATATTTCAATTCGAGATGTACGAAAGCGATTTTTTGTTGTTGTTGTTGTAATCCCTTCACAGATCTCCATCGTAGCAGAAAATCTGTTACTGTAACGGAATTTCAAGAAATGTTTCTCGAAGATACTGGACTAGTATTCTTCTTACTAATCCATCAGATTCATCAAATCTCATGATGTTATATTCGTGAACACCAAAATTCTCTACAAAATCATACAGTGCTGTAATGTATTCTCAAAGAAAGCTGCCGCAACGCTATGGACATCTCTCATTCCCATTAGACTTGATTTTCAGTGATCCTATTGATAGCCTCAGTAATACTGATTCTAGTTTGAAGTAATAGAAAACCAAAAATAAGATCTGATGTCTTACTGTAAATCATTTTGATGAATTAAAGACCAAATATTTATTTCAATAAGACTTAATTTCAATGAAACATCAATATCAATATACTAAAATAAAAAAATATTTATTTGTATAAATAAAAGACGACGTATTTCTAAACCTCTTCTGGATAATATAATTGTTGAGAAGGTTGATCATCTTTATAACCAATTGCTTGATATAATTTTGTTTTTTCTTCCATTGATAACGAATCATTAAATTTAAATTCTTAAATTAAAAAAAAATAAAGATAAAATTTGTTTAATTAATACAACCTGTATTATCTTGATTTGAATTTGAATTCCACCAATTGACTAATTTATCCGACCAAGAAAGATCTTTTTCTTCAATTTTTTTCTTAGCATACTAAATTAAACATAAAAAATTTATTTTAAATGAAAATAATTGAATATTAACTTGAATTTGTGCTGTTCGACGAATATAAATTAAATTAAAAAGATCAATTTGTTTTTCTAATTCCTTTAAATATAAATAAAATAGATCAAAATCAAACTTGAGCACGTTTTTCATTTTTATGATGATTTAGTTGTTGCAAATAAATTTCACGATATTCTTTATATCTATTCAGATTTTCTTTAATAACTTCCCATTTAAATGTTACTAAACGTGATCGAACATGTTCATTTAGAATAGCAGTATATGCAAATTTCCATCTAAATATTTATAGTTTATATTTAAATAAGCAACTTTTATTTTAAAAATCTAACCGTCTTAAACTTGGTCTTTCATATGGATTATCATTAAGAATTGTATAATATTGAATATATTTTGATTTCATATTGAGATAATCTTGAAATTCAAGTACATCAAGTAAATTTGAATACTAAAATTTGAAAAATAATTCAATGAGAAAAAAAATGTTTAATATTCATACTTGATTTCGATTAATATTCAAATAAATATCTTCAAAATCAATATCAGTAGCAAGAACAGCTTCTTCAAAATCTTGTTCTTGAGCTGTTTTAGCCATTTTTAATTTAGCTTGACAATTTAATGGTTGAAGAACTAAAACATTTATTTTTAATAAACTATTCAATCGAGAAGAAAAGAAATTCTCACTAAAACTCGTTTTTGAATATTTAAGTTGTTTAATTGATTTTAAATCATCCTGAATAAATAAATATTGAGAGAAAAAAAAAGGAATTAAAAAGTGATTAATTAAAAACATACAATAATATCTTGTTTAGATAAATCTAATCTTGATTTAATATTTGGATTCCAATAAATTGATAAATTATTTATTTGTGCTAACCAAATTATTAAAATTAATAATCTTTACAAATAAAAAAAAGAATCAAACTTTATAGATTATTTTCGAATCTTCTGTTGGTTCAAAATTTTCTCATTGATCATTTGTTGTCTAAACAAAATAAAAAAGATTTTTTTTTTGTTATTTCTGAAATGTGCAAATACATGAAGTTTAATATAATTAAGTGTAATTCCACATTGAAATGGATAAGATTTTGTTATTTTATCATCATAAGCAATATGAATATTATTTATTTCAATTTCAAGATTTCTAAGAATATGAAATTGCAAACGTTCGAAAAATGTGTCCTTATGATGAGGACTTTGTTTATTTTTTTCTAAAAATAAAATAAATAATAAAACGCGATAATCGAACCAAATAATTCTCGTTCACGACGAAATTCTTCAACTTTCTTAACTTGTTTCATTTTTGATTTATATTCTTCTTTTTCCTTTCGTTCAACATCATAATTAACATCTTTTACAAACAAAAAATAAAAATGAAAATTTTTTTTCTTTCTTAAACAAACCAGTTTTTGGTGTAACAAGTAAATAAAAGCCATCAAGTTCAATTTTCGCTGGATGTGTATATAAATGTTTCCACGGAATATGAATTCGAAGTTTTTCTATATAATTAAATAAAGATTTATTTTAATAATTTCATATGTATATATAACACACCAAGATAGCCAGTTATTATTTCAAGTGGAACATTAAAATCATTCTATAATAAAATTATTTATTTTATTTTGAAATATAAAAATTTTGATTTACGAGTGTATTGGTTTTTAAATGAACATTTTCAAGAATAATATCACCTTAAATGAAAATAATTTAATCAGATTAATGTAAATAAATGTCATACCAGCCCATAAATGAAGTTTTAATTGATGAGAATCGATATCTTCGATATAATTTCCCAAAAATTTATCGATAGGGTGTGGGATGTGGGTGTGTGGGTATGGGTGTGGGTGTGTGGGTGTGTGGGTGTGGTGTGGGTGTGGGTGTGTGGGTGTGTGGGTGTGGAGTGTGGGTGTAGTTGGGCGTACATGACGTTATCCGATTACACCCACATCCCACACCCCACCCACACTCACACCCACACCCACACCCCACCCACACTCACACCCACACCCACACCCTTTTCAAGAAATGGTTTGATACGAAACTTTTGTTTGATACGAAACCAAAAAAGGTTACGAGTTTGTATCGAGGGGAAGATCCTTTTTGGTTTCGTAAGAAAACCTTTTTTTAGAGTGTACCTGCATTCATGGTTAACGTGGAAGGTTATGTAACTTATTTGTGATCTTCAGATCATTTGAATAGTTACAGAGTCAAAACCGCCTGAAGAGACCCTTAAGCAAGGTCGAAACGCGTCGTGGTTTGCTTGACTCATCCACACCCTCCGATATTTTATGCGAATAAGTTGTTTTTATTTGTTTTTATAGAGTTTTATCGAAATGCTTTTGTATTCTTACGTGGTGTTTGATAATAAAATGCTGGCTGTTATTTATTGTTTGATAAGAATAACATATCACACACTTTATTTATCTACATTTTTATTTAACTCTTCAAGCACATAATGATGTTTGGAGTTTTATTTTTCAGTCTTTTATACTATATTGTTTATGCAGACAAATATTATACAATTAAACCGTATGGAGAGTAAGTGTAAGCAAGTGAATATAAGTGATATTTTCCAAAGAAAAGAAATTTTGTTATTTCAGTTCAGGTGTTTTTCCACACTATGGTAATTTTTCTGTCTTTGATACAAAGTGAAAAAGACTTTCTTTTATCGGTAATTTTATTTTTGATGTACATGATCGTTCAAGTGTGTACTATTTTATTGGTGGTCCTACAGCTGTGAATAGAAATTTAAATTATATTTATCTGCCTATTACTGGTGGTAATGCTTTCAAACGTCTTCTTTTAGTCGCTTATAATTATAAAAGAAAAACATATCATCAAAGTCGTTGGGTGTATAATGATGGTAACTTTGGTTTTCTTTTTTACGATTCATTAAGAAATCGACTTCTTGGTTTAAGAACTAATGCTACATTTACATATTATATTGAAGAATATGATATAGAAACATTAGACACTGTTAAACTATATACATAACAATATGTTGGAAAGTATGCTTTTATTAATGGAAGATGTACTGCGTTTGATTATAATCATAATTGGATTATACAAGTACGAACTCGTTTTGACAATTCATCTTCTAATTCTTATTGGATTAAAATGGATTTAAATTTAGTTGGTAAAAAAAAAGATATTGTTACTGATTTTCATCTTATGCCACATGCATATTATTTTGTTACGATGACATATGATATTCAAAAGACAAAATTGATTCTTTGTACATGGCAGAATGGTTCAAGTCTGTTAGATATATACGTGTTTCATTTAGATCCAAAGCAAAATGGAAAATTTCCTTATAGAAATCAAAGACTAAAATTATTATTGAAAACTAACGGAGAACAGATTGAAATGGTTAGAGATGTATGGAATCCAGTCAAGAGAGAAGTACTTTATCTGATTCAAACTAATACTGGTGCAACACACAAAATAATAAGATATATGTTGAGAGTTCAATTCGATACACGACAAGTATTAGAAAAGATAATACTAACCAATAAACAGTTACCATTGCTTGATTCGTGGGAATATTTTTACTTATCTTAATTTTAAAATAAACGATTGCTGTCTATAAATCGTATGTCTTCGAAAACGTTAACAAACGGCGTGAGAGTGTGAGGGTGTGAGTCAAAAGCTATACGATGACACGTTTCGACCTTGTTTAAAGGTTCCATCGCACAGTTTAATCGAATATGAACTATATTCTAATGATCGTGAAGATCACAAATAAGAGATCCATACTCAATTTAATCTATGATTGGCATTGAAAAGGTTTCTGTATGATATTCGAAATTTTCCATTGACTATATCATTATTGTGAACAAAGAAAATTAATTAAGAGAAATGGATTTTATTTTGTTTTAAATGTTTTACAATAAAAGGAAAGATATGTATGAGAATGGCGATAAACTGATATGTTATGTAATAATTTTTAATTCGTAGTATTCGATTTTTAAAGTGAGTTTCTTGATAGAAATTTTGAATTATTTTGTAATTTATTTCCAGCATGAACTCGTCAAATCAGTATGAAAACTACTATTATAACCGAAATGATTATCTAGGCAGACAGTGGAATCAGATTAGTGGGAGTTTTCTTATGTTGTTAAAATAGGACCGATGTTCTTCGTTTCCTTTAATCTTAGCACATGAAAGAATAAAATGATGGCAAGTTTTATATAATTGATGATGAATATTCGAAGGCTGAAAGGTCATACTAGTAATGAAAATGACAAAGTTAATTGATTAGATCCATAAATGAATCCAATTGTGTTGATAGTCAATAGCAAATGAATTTGCTACGCTTAAATCATTATGATCAATAAACCATTGACGAAGATTTTTATTTCCGGCTGCTGATAAAGAACCTTCGATGGAGAGATAAATAAGTTCTTTTCTTCATATTTCGAGTGCTTGCAATAAAAGCGAATCCTCAGTCAAACGTGAAAGTTTGAAAAACGCGTGTATTTGCAAGAAATTTTTGAAAACATGCGTTTACTTGCAAAATATTCTTTAATTCATCTGATCTCATGCGTGATCTTGCAAGACATTTGAAATATTTACAATTTTTGCGTATAAATGCAGGTCAACAATACATGCATAGCAGCGACGTAACCAGGATTTTTAGACCAATGGGCAAACTTCTCTTGTGTCGAAAAAAACCAATGGGCGAAATGGGCAAGGCTTTTATTGATAGGCCAAAACTTTTTTCACCCAACAAAGTACTAATAACGTAAAAAAAAATAAATGCATAAGTTAGTGTTGAGGATTCTTCAAATATGTATCTGTACAACACACATAGACGTATTCTCTACGAACTACGTCATTTCACATATTGTTTTTTTTCCTTTATATTTCTACATATACGCCATTGGATTTCTTCTTTCTCTTCTATATGTCACTCTAGATGTATATATGTGTAGACATATATATGTTCGGGTGTGTTCTCTTAATTCTCTTCTTTTTGATCTATCCTTCTCTACGTTTACGTGGATAGTGTTTTCCCAATAAAATCGAACGCACGTTCACCCAAACTTACAGTTAAAATCAGGCTTGCTAGATCTTCTGAAAAGCCAAGAAAATTTCTGAAATTTGAACATTTTCCTGATTTTTTTCTGATCTTTTGATTTTTCTGATTTGTTGTCGAATTCCAGACGTTTTTAGATGGCAGCTGTACTAGTGGAATTAATTACGAGTGTAACCCATTAATATTATAGATTCGTATTCCGCTACCTTCTTTCCTTTCTTAATCTCTTGTAGTTTCTGGGTTCTGCAGCCACTGCTAAGTGCTTTAATATATCAGTAAATTGTTGCGTTGCTGAACTGAATAGTGAATGGCAATTTTTTTTTGAACGATTTTGTAAACATATTTTAGCTCAAAAACATTTATTGAAAGAATTTTGAACGAAGGAAAACTTGAAAAATAATATAGAAGTTATGTTTTATAACTTTGATTATTTTTCGTAAGATTTTTTGATCTGCATTGTTTAGATAGATGATTTTTTTGTGCATATTTTTCGTAAACAGAGTTTTGGTTTTTGTAAAAGAATCCGACACTAGGTGTCTTTTCCTGACTTTTTTTTTTGTATTAACTAACAACTGAAGACCATGCTGCAGCAAATTAAGGAGATTCATCATAGTCGCATCAAATGAATGCTCTCACATACGGAACAACTAGTTTAAAACATGAGCTGCCAATAGTGTACACAGACAGAATTGTTTAAATTTTAAAATATTTACAATGTGTCATGTATCCACAGTACGAAATTTCATCAACATTTAGTTTTCTTTTTCTATCATGGTTGGATGGAACACGACTATTGACGTAGGAAGAAGCAATATTACTCACATTCAAAAGCAATTTGACAGCAATTAAAATTTTTTGTTTATTACCCTTATAATTAAAAAACAAATTATCTTAGACTTTGTTGAATTTGCTTTTTGATATGCATGATATTGTTTTTTCTTATGTAAATGGTTGTGTCCCATCCAACCATGACGAAAAAAAAAGAAAACTAAGCGTTGACGAAATTTAGTAGTGAGAGTATGTAACAAACTGGAAACTTCTTCTCAATGTGTGTACGCTACTGGCAGCGCATATTTTTAATTAGTTAGTTTGATAGTGAGAGTCTTCATTTGATCCAACTGTGATCAATCTCCTAAGCTTACAGTATATGATCTTTTACTCTAAGCTATATAATGGTTGTGTTATTTTTCTTTACTATGAAATGCTTTTAAAAACAAAGTATGAGCCGATAAACAAAAAAAACGTGAAGCCTTTTATGCAAGTATGTCAACATGATAGTCCTTGGTTTGCAAAAAGTTACTCTTTATGATTAGTTTCCAATTTCAGAAAAAAATTCTAATTTTTTTCTGATTTTAAAAACAAGAATTTCTGATTTTTAAGTTTTCCATCTAGCAACTCTGGTGAAAATACCAGAAGCGAGTCTTTTCTTCATGCTTCACAGAAAGAACAAGCAAAAATGCATGTGTGATTGAGACGGAAGAAAAGAAAATGAGTTATTATCTAATTCAAAAATAAATAAACAATTCTGAAAAAGTGAAATTTCAATGGGCAAAAACTGACGCATAAAAATTACAATGGGCAAATCTCCAAATGGAATGGGCAATTGCCCATTTGCCCCTCCCTTGGCTACGCCACTGATGCATGTTGCAAACACATGCATGCCGATACAAATTTTTAAGTTTTTCAGTAAAATATGCGAGATCATGCATGACTCTAATATTTGCAGATACTTGCATGCGCCGATCTTGTATGCTCTTGCAAGACATATGACTCGCGTGGGAATGTTAAAGTAACAGCTGCGTGTGCCTGCAAGATGGTCAGACTTTCTTCAAATCCTGCATGTCAATGCAAAAAGATCCTATTTATGAAAATTAATAGTGAATCAATTTTGCGTTGACATGCAAAATTTGAATATTTTGTAGTGCATATGCTGCGAAATGCAAGAATTGTGTTTTTTTCATTGACATATATTTATTTATTTCTCATAAAAATGGAATCGTTCTTCTATAATCACACTATATTAGCTAAAAAATCTTGTTGACTTTTCGAATTCTTGATAATTATTAGCATTCATGTACACGCGTGTTTGAAAATTATCGGATGATCATTATATCCTTCAGTTTTCATTGTATTTCAAATGTAAGTAAATGGCCGAATGGTGAAGAAGTTCATCTTATAAAATAAAGTATGTATGCTCGAATCTTATCTCTGGAAAAAAACCTTGTGCGTGTTCACGCATGTCTGTGACATATGCATCATTTTTTGGCCATTCGAATACTGTCTTGCATGTACACTCAAGGGATTTTTACAAAAGCACTCGTATGTTCCCACATGTGAAAACTTCCATGCGTGGACTCGCAAGTATAGTTTCACCTGTGACGCGTTCACACACGTTTTTTAAACTTTTGTGTTTGACTGGGCTGACAATCGTTTTTTTCTTTGTGAATTATTTGTGACCATAGTTATTTTCTTATCTTTATGTCAAGATTGTAATTTCTGAACTAACTGTTATCGGTTTATCTGTCATATTTCATTGTTATTTGTTAATACTCAAATGAAAATCTATTAAATCTTAGGATATTATTTGTCTTTGATTTACGCTCCAGTTTCTTATGAATCATTATTATTAACACTGTATTTTTATTTCTAGATGAACAAAGAATCAGTGTTGGCTTTAGTGAACTTATATCTATCAAGAAAACAGCGAATAAATCATGACATTACTAATATTCGGTTGGAATGTCAACGTTTAGTTCACAGATACCGTCGTCACCTCAATCTTCAAAATTAACTTACTACAACTTTGTTAATGCTGATCGACAATTTATTTGAAATTAATCGTCGACATGTATGGTCTTTTAAAAAAAATCATAAATGATGGACAGAAATTGTGCCAACAATGACAGAAAAACAATTTAAAGAAAACTTTCGTGTGGAACGCTTCACGTATTCTGTA